TTCCTACAGCAGGCAGGAATAAATAATGCCAAGAGAGATTTGCTTCTTTTGTTTTACTTCTGGGGTATATTTAATGTGCATTCCTTTTTACTTTTCAACTGAAGAACTGAGAAGGCATTACTACTTATATTTAGCATACTCTTAAATGACAAATAACTTAATTCCATTGCTATTAAAACAGTCTGTTGTGGCAGAAGAAGATGTGGCCATATGTTATCAATTCTTGTTAGTCTATGTGCAGTTAGATTCTCTCACCCTTTCTTTTCTTTTTTTTCTTTTTTTGCAAAGGGAGCTCAGTTGGTTTGCCTGAAAACAAGCTGCGCATTTGTATTCAGCCTCAGCCCCAACACCTGACAGTGGGGGATGCTTTGGTACTAGAATGTGGAGCTGTTGGAAACCCAATTCCCAACTACCAGTGGTTCAGAAATGGGCTGCCCTTGGCAAATGGGAGCAAAAATGTCTACGTGGTAAGTTACTGCAAAGTGCCAGCCTTGGGAGACAACCTTTAACTTGTAGCATAAAGCTGCTTCCTTGGAGAAAATCACTTTATCACAGCCTTGATAACCCCTTCTGTAAGTGCTCACTAGAATTTGTTTTCCTGTTCTGTGACTCATTTGCCCATACTCTTCTGAGGCTCTCAGGTGCATAGTTTTAACCCTGAACACGTTTCAGGTGGTAGTCACAGGCTGTAAGGCTGTAGTGCACTTTGGACACAAGAAAGATTAATTATCAGTAAAAGTGAAGGCCTCTCTTTCTGCCCTGCACTGCAGAGCACGGATTTGTACAAGCTGTTGCATTCAGGGCTTCGTGTATCTCAAGCCTGTCAGGTGTATCTGCATTCTTTCTTGAGTCCTTGAAAACATTTATAGACCACACCTGCTGTCCAGCTGACTGGAGAATGAGGGTATCAGCAGTTTTGGGGTTTGTTTAGGCTTTGCCTTTAGTTTTTGCTCTTTCTTGCATATGGGTTTAAATGAAACTAATAAGGGTATCTTTTGGGGTCTGGTGGGATGACCATGGTGATGTTTGCATAGGTAACCTGTGTGGGTGTGGAACATCAAGGGACATACTGGTGTCACATATTCAATGATCAGGAAGATCAAGACAGCAAGAAGATAGAAGTCATTATAGGTAGGGAGTTTTTCTGCAATACAGCTCATCTGATGTATCAGTTTCTTCCCTATCATTAGGATTTCTTTTTGAAGCTTTTAATATTATGCAAGCACATGCCTTCTGTGGTTTTTATTTATCCAGTTTTTAAAAACAGCTGTGCTTGCAGCAAATGGAATTTTAGAGCTTTATCAGTTAAAAAGTGCTCTGGGTTGTTGCTGTAAGCAGCATAGAAATGCTGCCATGTTTTGGTGTTGCTAGCATGCACATGGTTTGTCAGCAGATTGTAAGCTGATTTATTTATGGTTTTTGACAACTGAAAAAACAGTTTAACCCTTGTCAGTGTTTTGAACACTGTTACACTGAGTCCTCCAGCAATATGCACAGGTTAGATTATTCATAGCAAGCAGAATAAATGAATATAAGATGGTTTAGTGTGTGCACATATAACTAAAAGGAAAAGATCTGATTGTGTAGCTTTCAGATCTATCTGCAAATACTATTGCATAATTCACATGAAGAGTACTTTCCTATCCTGAGAGATGTTCTGATCTAGAGTTTTAGTAATAATTACTATACAGTGTTATGGTCAGTGCTGACTGACTGCTATAAAATAAGTCAGGTTGCAGAGAAGCTTTGGAGTGACCTTTGTGTTTCTTTGTGTGCTAACTCTCATAACTGAGAGCAATTGTCTTCCAATTTTCCCCCTCTTTAAAACACAAGGAAGGAAAGCTATGGCAGTGGAGTGCACAGAAGGTAAAGTAAACCTTTAGTTGTGAATCAATATTTAAAAATCAGTGACAAGGGTGACGGATTGTTGAGTGTGCTGCTGAAAAGCATGTGTGGATTCAGAGCTTCAGGCTGTTTCAAAACTGGTGTGTGATGCAGCATTCCTTCTGCATGTGCTTCTCTCTCCTTTGCCTTGATACCATCATCTAGAGCACATGGGAGAAAAGCCAAGCTACTTTCTTCTTTTGTAATATTCTAAGTTGTTTGATTTTTGCACTGGTTTTGTCCTGTGCTTAGTTTCTAGTGAAATGTAAAGATCTTGAGATTTCTTTGCCTGGGCTTTGGAGGCAACATCCTTGCAAGAAAAGCTGAAGATGTTTAGGAACCTGGGTGACCTTAGAGAGCTGGTCAGAGCTCTTCTGTCAGCTCTGTGGCTACAAGAGGTGTTGCCAGCAACCTCAGGAGGACAAGTTCTCTTTGCCTTTGCATTGCTACAATAGGGAGGAAGAAGACCATATTGATACCATCCCTAGACTCCTGAGCAACTCAGTGTTCTCCGAATAAATAGGTGAAACCTGTGGTAGTTTAAAATGTTTGAAAGTTGTGTCTGAAGTCTTTCTCAACACATATGGCTTCACAAAGTGAGATTTCTTGCTCAGGATGTTGCTTTCTCAGCAGTCCTTCAAATACCTATTTTTCAAATGGATGATTCTAACATCTTGTTTATTCATGCAAGCTGCTTGCATGCCTGTGGCACAGCATGTATTTCTCTCTTTGTTTTGAGATCTACTATATTATAAGGCTTTGTCTAGCTTAGCTTCCTATATTGATGTAGGATTTTCTCTTCTCTGCGTGTGGAATAAACATATGAAAGGTTAGATTTACAAAAATGCGAAGCCAAAAGTATTTTGGAAAGGAAGCTTGTTTTCTAATGTTTGGCTTCTATTAATAACAGCATGACATTTAATTGCACTTTTATTAATAAAAAATGTATTTTTTGCTTCTTGTTTAAACTATGATTTTACTGATGTATTTCTTCACAGAAGATTTAAGTGATCTTCAAAAGCCAGGTAAGTGCTAAGTTTTTAAAAACTTGAATTTTGCATCTGGACTTTTATGTTACAACTCACTGGAGCCTAGCTGGGCTAAAATACAGTTTGCATTATCTGGATGTATTTATAACTGGGGATTCAATGGGGGCAGCATAGCTCTCTGGTTCCAGTAAATTAACTTGAATATAGGGAACCAGAGGGCTGCAGATCACTTTGTAAAAATCACATAAAGCTGGTCTTTTATATTGCATTTTGCTGACACAAATGCAGAAGGAATAATTTTTGCTTCTCCATGGCTTCTTTGGACAGAAACTGAAGTTTTAGTATATTGCTGCTTTTTCAGATGGTGAAGGTGAAAAGATGTGAGGGGTCTTGTTGTCACCCATGACTTGCTGAATTGGTGTATTTCTGAAATTCGTGTTGGGCTGAGCTAATGGGATTTGAAGCCCATTTGGTGTTTACTGCAGAAACATAGATCTGGAGTAGGCTATCCCTGATATGGTGTTCCCAAAATCTCAGATCACAAAGCTCATAACTTCCTGGGGTATACCTCAGAGAGGCGTTTCCTTATGCCAAGACTTGGGTTTAGTCACTGAAGTGGCACTGTATGATGGGTGACATGTTATCCCAAGGGTACCACTCTGGCATATCCCTTTCCTGTTCCTCTTGGCACAGCATTGGCTCCACCACCCCTCTGTGAAGTACACAGTTTTCACAAACAGATGGTCATCCCTGCTAAGCATCCCCCATCTTGCACATATGCATTTTGTCACTCAAAATGCTGGTATAGAGTTCCTGAGATGCGAAATCAGATTGTAAGCATCTGTTCTTTCTCAATTTATAGAACTGGCTATTCATGTTCTGTTAGGCTTTGTTTGCTGGGAGAGCATGAAGGGAAATCAGGTAAACAACAAAAGAAAAGACAAAACAGCAAAAGAGCACTTTGTCTTAAACTGGTAGCATTGGTCAAAGCAGCACCAACAGACTGGCTGTGTGGGACATGTGGTTCATTTCCTGACATAGGCATCTATGGCTGTAGGTACTGACTGACTGCTCTATTACTGTCTTTCAAACAGACCTACAAGAACAATCAAATCACAGACCTGTTGGTGAGTAGTTTTGTAGCTGTCATGACCATTTCATATCTAGGACATAGGTTTTGCTTCCTATCAATATGTCTGCTTCTGGCCCTGCCAGAGAAACAACTGTAGTGCACACATGACTTGGCTGTGGTCAGGCATGATGTCTTGTCAGTGCTAGACCAGGTGGAAAGGCTGCTGGCCTCTGCCAAAATACTGCCACTTTTTCAGGTTCATCAGTGTAAGAGAGAGTGTAGGTGCTCCTCGGCTCCCTTCATCTTTTCTAAATTAACTGGAATGCTTGTACTTTTAGAAGTGTTTTTCAGTGACAACATGTCACTATCGCTCAGTCCCTGCTGTTTGAAATAGTTTATACTGTTCAAGACCTTGAAGATTTCACAGCTGCATAAATGCTGAAAACATCTGGTTTCAAGGGGGTGAAATGCGGGACATGGAGGCTGTGGACAGAGATTCCCTTCTGGATCTAGCTGTGCTGTCTCTGAAGCTAGCTTGGGGCATTCTTGTGATCTCATTTGCCACCAGAGCTGTGGGACAATAATTCCCATCAGAGAGAAGTAACAAAGTAGGGAGGAGATGCCTTGCTTTAAATAAGTGCCTTTCTGTAACTTAAGTGTGCCATTTTGGGATAAAAGTCAGGCTAGTGGTCTCTACAGCATTTCTATCAATGTGACTTTTTTACCCTTTTATTACTGATTTGTTTACTTAAAACAGAATTACTTAGGACTTCATTAAAATCAAAATGAACATATCTCAAACTACAACAATACCAACAGATTTCCTCCAAGTTTTGTAAATTTCTCATGTAGCTGTGAAGTTGTTTTTAACCAGAGCAACATGAAAAAGAAATTGAAACAAACAGAAAAAAGACTGTTTCCTTCTGACCTGTAAAAGTTTCCACCTAAATGTTCTGTGTTTCAGAGAGATGGGACATGGAGATGAGATGTGGAAGTGGGTTTTTGTTTGTTTTTCAAAAAGCTTAAGAAAATGTGAGGGTTTTGGGAAAGTATACTGGCATAGCTTTGGCAACTTGCCACAACAATTTTCAGGTATATTAAATTTTTTCTTGCATGGGGGAATTCAGTAATTACCTGAGCTTTCAAAAAATTAAAGAAATGGGAGGCAGCCTGAGTGACTCACTTGGCAGATTATCCAATCTGAGATGCATCACAGCTCAGATATGTTAGCTGGGAGACATTGCTGAAATGGGTTTTTGCATGAGAAGAGAGTTGAGCCATATTGTTGATGTAGGATGACTTTAAAATTATGTAAAATATTGTGCCTGAAGTAAGACTGGATAATTATTTTAACTTTGGAAGACATTATAAGTGTTGAACCCGTGGGATATATAAACATTCTGTGTCTTTGTCTTTGCAGCAACAGACAAGGTAGCTCTGTTAATAGGGAACATGAGCTACTGGAATCACCCCCAGCTCAAGGCTCCCATGGTGGATGTCTATGAATTGACCAATTTGCTCAGACAGCTGGATTTCAAAGTTGTTTCTCTGCTGGATCTTACTGAGTCCGAGATGCGAAATGCAGTGGATGAATTTTTACTTCTGCTGGACAAAGGAGTGTATGGTAAGAACATGTGATACCCCTTCTGAAGTAGGGCAGTTTTGTGATGTGTCAAGTACAGAAACATCTGCTCCTTACCTCTGCCAGCTCACAAGATGTGATGGCAAAAGACGCTTCCTGGAAAATGGCACTTATGTACAATGGGGCTATTAAATTTTAGAACAGATAAAATGTTTAAACCTTTTTCTTTAACCATGCCTGAAGCTGCAGTGGACTTGTTTGATAGTGCTGATGAGTTTGTCTGCTAAGAGCTGCTGCATCTGTACAGCATATTTGTCCACGTGCAGATGATGCACATCGGAACTGTGAAGCTGTTCTGATTGCCTGTACTAGTGCACGATGGACACGAGCTTGTAGCAGGAGAGTTGCACAGAAACCCAGGCAACTGCAGTGTACAAGACTTGGGTAGTCTTGGGCAGCAGTCCTTGCTGCTCTCAGGAGACCTCTTCAACCTGTTCTTCATAACGTTCTGCTCTGTTGCTCTCGTCCCTGCCCTGCCAGCACGTTAATGGTTTGGGCTGGGAAGTCCCTTGGAGTCCTTGGGCTGCAGGTCTGCTGGGGAGGTGGAAACAGCCTGAAGCTCAGCATGGGATCTGTTCTGGGCTTGCTGGTGGGACCCTTCTGTTCACCCCTGTCTCTCTACAGCATGTCTGCAGAATGCTCTTTCCTTCTGGCTTTCCATCCCGGCACTCTGAGAAGGGGCTGCTCTGCTCTGGCTCTCCAGCTGGGCAGGAGCAGAGGAGGAGGCTGCTGAGCTCCAGTACCAGGTCTGTGGGGCAGGAGGGAGAGTGGGACATGGGAGCAAAGACTCTCTTCACACTCAACAGATGGGATGCAGTCTATTTTGCCACATTTCTAGGTTAAGTAGAAATCCTTTTGAACTGCTGGTTCCTGTCAGTTGTGATACTGGCCTGGCAAGCAGAGTTTTTCATCATGTTCTTGGCAGAGAGTGAAAGAAAGTTCTGCAAACCTGAATTTCTACTTCAAAAAGCAGATGGAAAAGATGTTTGTTTATGTAAAATGAATACATAAGTTTCCTTTGTCTGCACACTCCAAAGAAGTAAAATAAAAAAGAGAAGAATTCACATTATCTTTTGCAGAACACCCCTCGTGTAAGGAGAGGCCTCATGTGAGACATGGGTGAGCTGTGTACTTCAGGTCCTGACTTTCTGCAGTTGTCAATAATAAAGGGCCTGTCACTGAGTTGAGTGCTGAGATTCCTGTGTAGGCAGAGCTCAGGTACAGCAGTTGTTTCACAGCTCTGTGGAAGATCTGAACATAAGAGTATAAAATGATTTCTGCATGTCTTTGCACATTAGATGAAAAGCTTCATAGTGGGTAAGCTGCTTCAGCATTTGTTTTTTTTTTCCTTCAGATATAAAATAACACCCCACCAAAATCCAAGGCTCTCACTTCTAAATTACAGCATCACTGTAATAATTATACTGCAGCATCTCATCAGTGTTGGTTTAAGCTACAGGTGCACATATTAAGCAAAGTATGCATGCTGAAAGTTGTGTGTTTACCTCATTTCTCTCCAAGTTTTTTTGTGTCACATCCACTTATGAGACACCTGTAATAGAATATTGATAATAATTTTAAGCTCTCCTCCACATGCAGCACAGGAGGTGCCTTCTGCTGGGATAATGACTGGCCAGTTGGGTCTGGTGAGCATGGCTGCTACTGATACACATTGATTCTTAGATGTTTACTCATAGATTGAGATCCCTTGTCTTGCATACACTGGAATTTTGAGGGACAAAATACAAGACAGAACTGGTGGCTGTGATAGCTGAGGGAGCATGTAGAGGAAGAGCAAAAACCTTCATGTCTTGTGTGGAAAAGGCCTAGAATGACCTGCCCTGAAATGTAAGGGAAGTTTTTCTGTGGTCTTTGAGGAGTTTGCTGATGACTGCCAATATTTTTGTCATTTTTCTAAAAGCTAAGATTGCATAAAGGACTGCAGAAATTACTTAGAACAGAGACCAAAAAGTTCTGCCAGTTGTCCTGTTTAAATTGCAGGATTCCTACAGTAATTCCCACCTGAAGAAACATTTGATTCTTTCTTGGAGCACAAGGTCACAATATGGCTTAGTATGACATTTTTAATGGTGTGTTACCTGCTGCTCTGTCTGTGCAGAACTGCCTGATCTGACACTTGGGCATCTATGCCTTAGCCAAAACTTGAATGACATGAAGACTGATGATGGCAGTAAAGTTTATTAGACTTTCTGGTAGGAGTTCTCTTTTTTTCTTTCCTGGGAAACATGTGCTCACACGTTTGAGTGAGCTTTTAGATTCTTGCACCTTCTCATTTTTTTTTTCTGTAATTGTTGTCATGAATTTAGAAAATAAAATACTGAAATGCCTTAATGAGTTTCTCTCCAGCAGCAGATGAAAGCTTTTATAAGGCATGATTTGCAGTTGCACTTTTTCAGCAAATTGCTCTTTCTGAAAGGTAAGCAGAGCATTCCTCAGTTGTGATTGGTAGTAACTACTGACTGCAGTAGTCACTTTGTTTCTTCCGGAGAGTGGCCATGAATGGCTTAAAGCATATAGAAGGTGCTGTCAGTGCACAAATAGGTAATGTTTTATGGCATTTTTAGTGGGCGTAGCTCCAAATGGCAGAGACATAGTGGCTACTTCTGTTTATTCCTTGTTACACATATTCCTGATGCCTAAGGTGATGTTGTGTAATCCTTGCTTACTGCCAGGAAAGTGGCATTTCAGCTATGGCTCCTTAAGAACAGGAGCAGTAAACAGAGCAGTGATGGTCTCTAATGTCTTAGTTTGAGTTTTTCCAAATGAAGGATGCAATTAATATTGTATTCCAGCAAATTACCACAGGGTAAAAGCATAGACCTATGCATTTAAAGGCTAAGAATAGTTAGGGGGCTTTCTTTCAGAAAAGAAAGAAAGAGAGAAAGCGAGCAGGAGGCACAGCTACCGCTGCAACACTGACGTCGGTGAGCAACTTGAGCCTGCTTAAAATTGTTGTGTCCAAGTGTCTAACGAAGCCCTCCAAACATGTTTACTCTGCTTACTCTGAGTATGCAGAGGTTATTTCTGATCTTGAGCTCAACATGTTAACTGTTGCAGGTACTCATCACACGAGCATTGCACTTATCTGCCCAAGGATATCGAAGAAATGTAGTTGTTATTTCTGAGGATTTCTATCAGATGTGGAAATACTCTTAGGAATCCTGCTTTACATTAGATTTGTTTCCTTCACTCAGTCCAAATACTTCTCTAACAAACACTCAGACATAGATAATCTCATATATAACCTTGATTTAGGTCCAGATCAAAACTCTGTGGAAATAAAATTTAAATTTCTTTTGGACTTGGAGTAAGTCCAGAGGAGGCCACAAAGATGATCCGAGGGCGGGAGCAGCTCTCCTGTGAAGATGGGCTGAGAGCAGTGGGAAATGGTTTTAAACTGGAAGAGGGTAGATTTAGATTAGACACCAGGAGGAAATGATTTACTGTGAGGGTAGTGAGACCCTGGCCCAGGTTGCCCAGAGAAGCTGTGGCTGCCCCATCCCTGGAAGTGTTGAAGGGCAGGTTGGATGGGGCTTGGATCAACCTGGGCTGCTGGGAGGTGTCCCTGCCCATGCAGGGGGTTGGATCTACATGATCTTCAAGGTGCCTTCCAACCCAAACCAGTCTGGGATTCTGTGATTTAAAGTTAGGACCTGGTAGGGATTTGTGCAATTGTCACTTCATTTTTAACTCTCTTGAAACTGCCTGGTCTCAGGTGACCACTGGAATCTTATTAAATAGCCCAGTAGTATCTTTATGTGTTCAGATTTTTAATCATATGCTTTAAATTCTGTTCCTTTTTGAAATCCACCTTCTAAGAGAAAAAAGGCATTGCCATTTTCCAGGACTGGCAGATGAATACTCATCTGGCTGTGTGAGTGAAGCCCTGCATCCTGGAGTTGCCTTGTATGCACTGGCTGCTCATCCTGCCCAGGCATGTTTCCCATAAAAAGAGATGGAGCACTCTTGATTGAATGGAGCAGTTTGCAGGGTCCTGGCATAGCTGTTAGTGACACAAGAGAGCCAAGGGCTGGGTCTGAAGGGCTGCAGCTGTACTCAGAGTGCAGGGCTGTGTGAGCAGTGCTTCATTTCAGTGTGTTTGGGTGAGGCACACCCGGTGGTTACCGAAGAGTCAGGTTTTGTGGTGACATCTCACTGCTGGTTTTGATAAGAACAGGGACATAAAACAGCCATGTCTGCAGTTAGCACAAACTTTAATCTCTCTGTTGACTTGTATTCAGCTGCAGGACTAGATACTAGTTGAAGACCTGACCTAGAGACTGCTTTGTGTAGAGGAATAAAGATGGGACTTGCCATACATAAGCAACACCAGTACTAGGAACAGACAATGAGAGAGTCCCTTTAATCATACAAGCTTCTGGTAGCAGGGCAGGTTGTTAATGCCAGGATCATCTCATTTTACTGCAAGTTGATATGACTTTAACATTTTTATTCATATAAGTAAAATCCAAGTCCTAGGCTGCAGTTCCCTTTTTCAGGATTAAGAAATGCTTTTGCTTAATTCCATGATATATTTTCTTTATATAAAACTATTAGATGTTTTGTTGAAGATATTAAAATATTGCAGACTGTTGTATTGACACATGAGAGAGATGATGGTAGGATAACCCTTGGTGTCTAAGTAAGCTTACAAGTAATTTGTTTGTTTAGTAGACCTGCAAGTGTCAGGAGTCTGAAACTAAAGAGATGTAGATGCAATCAACTAAAAATGAGTTGTTGGTAGCTGGGTAAGGGGAAAGTCCTGCCAGACACAATCATGCAATAATTTATTTATTTTTCCTCTAAATGTAAAAATATTTATTATTCCTACCTATAAAAATGTAAAATGGAGAAACTGACTCTATAGAGGAAACAGCAAAACCAAAAACTTGCAAAATGCTCTCACAGTGTAAGCAAGGGTTTTCTCTGATTTTTTCTTTTTCTAGTTAAAGTATGTTTAAGAATTGTCAATGATTAGGTTTAAAAAAAAAATAAATTTTCAAGATGACATACAGTGTAAGCAAGGGTTTTCTCTGATTTTTTTCTTTTTCTAGTTAATGTATGTTTAAGAATTGTCAACGATTAGGTTTAAAAAAAATAAATAAATTTTCAAGATGACAGCATCTCTCATTTAAAAAATATAATCCATCCCAACTGTTCAGTGTCAGTTTTTTCTATAAAATCTGCAGTGAGTCACAGCTACTCAAAGCTTTGTAGTTGCACATGTGGAGAAGGTGTTTTACACCTGGTACAAGTCTGTGAGTTATATATCATACATAACAGATTATTTCTGTTAGAGGTCATAACTCAAAGCAATTTAAGAGCATTTAACTTTTTGTTTGATGCAAATATTTAAGATTCTACTGCATGAGTGATTTATGTTTTTTAATAATTTGTTGTGTCTGTGTATTGTGAAGGTGACAGCTGTGTGGTTCTTGTCCCCACCCTTCCCTTCCTTCATGTCAGAACAGAGGCCTGTTGATACTAAAAAAACCCAACTGCTTGGAGTAGGTTGAATTCTTCTAATTCCCTCAGAGACACAGTGCATGAAGTTTTTGACCCTGCGGAAATGCGCATCAGTGTTACTATGTACTCTTGCAGCATGTTTTCAGTCATGTATCTTTTGGACCCCCAGGTTTGTTGTACTATGCTGGCCACGGCTACGAGAACTATGGAAACAGCTTCATGGTTCCCATTGATGCTCCAAACCCCTACCGGTCTGCAAACTGCCTGTGTGTGCAGAACATCCTCAAACTCATGCAGGAAAAAGAGACAGGGCTTAACGTGTTCCTGCTGGATATGTGTCGGAAAAGGTACCATCTCACACCCCATGAGCAGGGAGAAGTATCAATAAACTGGGAGAGGTTTCTGCTTCACGGTAGAGGGAGAGGGTATAAGGACTAGTTGTGGGAACCAGCTGTGAAGTTCAGGTTATTCACTGCAGCAACAGGTTAAAGATGAGCCTATTTTAAAAACGAACAAATAAAACTGAGCAGCTCCTTTGAGATAAGAGCAAGGGACCCTGAGAGAGCCGGACTTCAGGGTGAGGAGAAATCTTTAGTCGAGGCTGAGAATTCCTTGTACTTGAAATTTCACGGATCTGAAATTCACAGCCTGCGTCCGAGGACTTTAATGTCAGAGGGTTCACTCAGAGTTATTTTGCCCTTGGCTGGAAATGTGAGACTGGTGATCAGTCTTTCTGTTTCCAGGGACAGGTACTTGCCTCTTGATTTGAGTGACATTTATTGCTGCTTTTTTTTTTAAGTTCTAAAGCATCAGTATTAATAGATAAAAGTGAAATTGGGCATCTTAAAGGAGAAAAAATACACTTTCCCCTAGCATCATTAATCATCATCACAGGGAGGAAAGAGAATCTGAATGATCTAAGGCATGTTAATTTGCCAGAAGGGCTCAAGTGAAGTGCTTTATTTCTGTATGAAGAGACTACAATGTCAGATTAAACCTGAAATTCTTCAGTCGTCACTTCTGAAATCTGATCTCTGTGGAATGTTTCACAATGGAAAATTGCTGGTGCTTTGGTGTTTGTAGAGCCTTCAAACTTCAGGGCTAATGAAATGCCAGTGACCCAATTCAGCTTCACAGTCTGCTGTCCAAATACAAGTACAGCTATGTAAGCTCATGTGAACTACGCAGACACCATGGCTTGAAAAAGAATATTAATTACAAAATTCATATGGGCTTTGTTATTACCTAAAATGGCGAGTTGTCAGGAATCATTTTTAAGAGATTGTAGCCAGACTCAGTACTGGTTAATATAGCATGTCCTCATCTGGGGAGTGCATCATATGTGATTGATTTGTATTTTGATGATTGGACTTGGTGATCTTGAAGGTCTTTTCCAACCTTAATGATTCTACGATTCCATATCTGACTGTGTCTTTGTCTTCATGAAGAGTGTTGATGACACAGATTATCTTTTAGAAGTGAGGATTCATTCCAGAATTGTAGGAAAGAAAAAAAGTACTGTTTCTGAACTGTGCTGCTTTGGTATTTTCAACAGCTGTACAGTTTGTTACCATTATTAGTTCTCAAATTACTGTTTTACTTGTTTATGTTTCTGTTTGTTGCAGAAATGAATATGATGACACGATCCTTATCTTAGATGCTCTGAAGGTCACAGCCAACATTGTTTTTGGATATGCAACGTAAGGAAACTTCTTTCCAGTTATGCCATAGAGGTTTTGAAACCAGAAGTGCCCCACTGAGATTGTACAGCTAATCATTGACACAAAAATACTAACTGTGGTGCTGAAGGGCCAGTAATTTATACTGTCTTTTTTACCTTGTTCTTTGAATCATTCCACAGTCTAACTGACTAAAACAGCTAAACTGACTAAAAGAGCTAAATAGCCTCTCTCAGTTTTCAAGTCAAGTGCAAAAGCTGTTGAATAGAAGTAAATGAGCTTTGATGAAGTCTTCTGAGAGAATTTTAAGCTCCTCATATAAGCATTTTGACATCAGCTGTGGTCTGTGGCTTGAATGTAAGTGAAATCTTTCCAGGGCGAGTTGCTTGCAAAGGAAAAGCAGGCTGTTGGCTTTAGACCCAGCCTAGTTTTCAAATTCTAGGGTTTCTTTCCCCCATTCCCAACATAGCTTTATTCATGTTATCTTCAAGGTGATCTTAATCATGCAGATGTTTCAGTGTTTTTTACTTGTCTGATATTGATGGTCTTGAAGGTGCCAAGGAGCAGAAGCTTTTGAAATTCAGCAGTCAGGGTTGGCCAATGGAATCTTCATGAAGTTCTTGAAGGACCGTTTGTTGGAAGACAAGAAGATTACTGTGCTGCTGGATGAGGTTGCAGAAGGTGAACTCCAGCTTCCTGCACTAACATAGAATCATGCTTAAATGTTCTCATGGCAAATATGTTGCACTACTTTAAGCTCTTTGTGCTGCATGTTGTTAAAAGAGCAGCATTTATCAAGAAGCAGGTGCTACTGGGCAGTGTGCATGTTAACAAAGATCATGACACTATAAAGGGATTTTGACCATCTTTAATAGTGATCACTTTTATACTTTCCTTTTTATTAAACTTTGTTCTGAGAGTCTTTCTGCATGGCACTTTGAATTGTCCATCCACAAAAACTGCTATTCTGTTTTGTGGTGTCAGCTGCTAGTGGCAATCCAGTCATTGCCACATTCATTTAATTAACTGAGTCTTACCCACCTCAAACTGTGATAGGATGATTATTTGCTCTCTATCAAAGGGTATAAGTGCACTATAAAGGGCAATCCACTGGTTTAATACACCTGGTTCAGTAATTGTCTTTTATAATTGATGGGAGAGCTGCTAAAGTGAAAACTGTTGAGGGAAAATGCATTGCTTCTGTGCAGACGTTTGCTCAAATCACAGAAAAATAGGTAAGACCATTAACAAAGAGCTCTCTGAAAAGAGACACTCCCCAAATGTCCTGTAAAATATGACTTGACTCTTACTGCTTTGTCTCTGTTGCCAGGTTATTGTCACATGCTGTTGATGTTCTGACATGGGACCTAATACTTATCTCATTCTTGTGCTCAGAGTGGAGAGAGAGATTGATCTGTCAGGCAGTGTGACAGCCATGGTTATCAGTATTAGCAGATCCTGGGTTTTAGTGAAGGCACTGGTGCACTGAGGACACTTGAAAATGTTCCAGAGAAGTATTCATCTTAGAGGTGTTCCTTGCAAATAGCCTTAATTATTTCATTTTTTTATGAACTCCTATATGGAAATTTTCCAGTTTTGTTCGTTTTTTTTTCATTCACGTTGAAGGCCATAGGTTTGTAATTTCTGCATGTAGTAAAATTGTCTGAAATACCAGCCATTTCTCTCCATTTTCAGTCATTAGCAAACTTGCTTAGGGTGCACTCTGTCTGGTCATCCAGGTCACTAGTGATGATGTTCAACAAACAGTATTGGCCCCTTTGTTGACCCCTAAAATATTCCACTTGCCTCCAGACCTTTAGAAATCACCTCCAGTGGTATTTATTCACATTTTTGAAATTAGTCACTTTAATGAGGACCTTGTTGAATCAGAGCTGTGATACTGCTGGAGCTCGATTTGAAAAACATGAGTATCTTGCCTAGGACAGGTGCTTACCCTTCAAGCACCTAGCATGCTACTTGAGCCACAAGTCAGTGAGTAGCTGAGCCAAGGATATGTCTGAAATGGCAGGTTTTTATGGAAGTGCAGACTCTGGCACAACCACAGCACCCAGACACTGCAGTGATGCACCTAAGTTAGTTAGAATTTCCGCAGCATTGATCCGGAGAGAAATGTTGTGCCTCTTCTTTTCAGATATGGGCAAGTGCCACCTGACCAAAGGCAAGCAAGCTCTGGAGATCCGCAGCAGCTTGTCTGAGAAAAGGGCCCTAACTGATCCCATCCAACAAACCGCTTCGTCTGCAGAGGCTCTGGCACGGAACCTTCAGTGGGCCAAAGCTCATGGTACAGTACATCTGCTTGTAGGTGATCCTGCTGGCACGGTAGGAAACCTTAGAGGATGGACTCCCTTAGTGATAAGCTCTAGTCTGTGGGTTGTGGTATTGAACAGAAATGGAAGAAATTCAAGTTTGTCTCTAATTCTCATTAGTGTGTTCAGATCTTGGAAATGTTTGGGTTTTACCTCTACACAAGGTCATAACGGACAAGAAGACATGCAGAATTCATCCTGAGTAAGTGTGTTTCAGACCACGCAAACTCTGTAGGGGAGACTTTCATCATGTCAGCCTCCTGCAATAATCTTAAGCTTTGGAATTTAAAAACAGAATTTAAAAAACAGAAATTACACAGACTAGTTATCATTTAGAATGTGACGATGTGTTACTTCTTTGCAGAGCTTCCAGAAAGCATGTATCTTGAGTTCCAATGTGGTGTTCAGATTCAGCTGGGGTTTGCAGCTGAGTTTTCCAACGTGATGATCATTTACACACGGATAGTGAAGCAGCCCTTGGAAATCCTGGAGTGCAGAGCCCATGTCACAGACTTTGCTCTCGTAAGTGCTTCCCATCGATGTCTGGGGATCTCACTCCTCTCAAGTTGAAATCTGTCTGGTCTGCCCATGTCATGATGCATCTTTTTTAATCAAATGGGCCTAAACGCCTGAAATCAGATGCTTACATGTGTGTGACACACTTTTTAAAATGTGTATTTTAATATATCTAAAAATACATTCAGTTTACTCTGGGCTTATCTTTTTCAAAGTCTCCTTCATTTTTAATTGTCCAATATCAAGTATTTGTCATATCTGATTTGTCAGTAGCTCCTGTGTGAGCTGAGGACACATCCAATTTGCAGGGCAAGGTTTCTGAGGCTTTGGTTTTACATTTCTTTGATTTTCCATTGATTGTTCAGCTGATGACAGTGAAGGGTAGAATGAATGAGGGCACAGCACAGAAAAGCTTTTTATATTTGTTCAGCTGATGACAGTGAAGGGTAGAATGGAAGGCTTCTTGGGGTAGAATGAATGAGGGCACAGCGCAGAAAAGCTTTTTAGACGGAACAAACAGGACACTTCTGATGCTTTACGAATAAAATATTTGAGTTGTTGTGCACAATAAATACATGTGTTTTCAGCCCACAGGATTTCTGTTGTAGCACTGTACTTCATAGTAGAAATTTGGTTAAAAAGAGCAAGCCTGAAGCAAGCACAGCAAGTTTGACAGGAGCCATCTGCAAAAGATGGTAACCTACTGTAACCCCTTCTGCCTGTGACTAACAGTGATTTCAGCAGCTTTTGCAAGTAGTCCAAGATTACTGTTTTCTTTCCCTTTAAGAAGAAAATGCTGACTTGATAAAAACTGCTCTCTATTTTATAATCTACAAATTCTGTGCCTTCAGTTAAGTTCTCTTATGTTTCTTGCAACAGGACTTGGATGTGGATCCTAAAGAGGCAAATAAAGGAACTCCTGAGGAAACTGGAAGCTATTTAGTATCAAAGGACCTTCCCAAACACTGCCTCTACACCAGGCTAAGTTCACTGCAAAAACTAAGGGTACTAAGGGTTAATATATATTATTCCTCACAAGTTTGTTCAGATAATTTAGATGAATCACGTTGTTTTGCAGTTCTACTGAGGTAGCTGCATATTATTTGTGTAATAAGTAACACATTATTTGGAGGGAAAAAGCACAATTTAGTGACTCTGGTTTCTTGCCTGAGAAATAAAACCCAGAAAATCACTGCATATGCAATCTTGACACTTGGGCACCTAGTGTTTCCTAGGCCTGTACCTAATTTGACAAGTGAAGACCATCTTTTCTCACTGGGAGGATATTCCTGTGCCCTGCAGTACAGGCAGAATGTGGCCTGAAGCAGAGCTGCATCTTGCAAACGGGAGATGAAAATGTTACGGATCCTCTCCTTCCATTCCAGCCTGTGCTCTGGGCACGCAGTTTTTGAAAGGGTCTCACTTCAACATACTGTGGCATGAAGTTTATCTCTGGATCTTTGTGTCATGAACATCTGTGCTGGATGTTGCTTGCAGCTCTTCAGTGCTTTGGCAGCTGCTGTAATACAAGTTGGTTTAGAAATACAGACTATCAGGTGAGCAAGTATTAACTAAAAGAGGTCCTCAGTCTGCAAGTCTTGCCTAATACATGTCTTTAGCTCTTAGAAAGGTTAGTCTTCTTGTCTAGTAGACTATGTCTCTGTATTGTTTCCTGTATTATTTGGTTGGGACGAAATATAACTTTTTTTTTTTTCTTTCTTTTTCCCCTTTCCTTTTCTGCAGGAACACTTGATCTTCACTGTTTGCTTGCACTATGAGTATCCAGGAATAGAAGATACAATGGATGAAAGAAAGGAAGTTAATGTTGGGAAACCCCTTATTGCTAAATTAGGCCTTCATCATGGATTCAGGAATAATAACTGTCTCCAGACCAGTTGTGTGGCTAATAATCCTTTTCACAATCAAACAGAATCAAATCCAGTGCCAACTAAATACTATGTCACTAGTCATTGCCAACCAAATTCCTGTCCAGGCCTTTACCATCGAAACCATGGTTGCTCAGACAGCATCAGACAACCAGAGACATGTTCTTGCAATGGGACTTCAAGGACACCAGCTTCAAGACATGAAGTAGGGAATTACTCATCCCCTGTGGCAGAGAGTAATGTACCAGTGGAGACCACCGATGATACTGTTGAACTGGAATTCCTTCTTTCTGACAGCCTCAGGTTCTCTGAGCAGCAGTAGCTGTGATGTGTTTGGAGCAGACCCTGGGACAGGGAACCCTCCACACTGCTCATCTGTCTTCTAGACTTGGAGGGCTTCAGGACAGAGGGACTGAGGAGTCTAGAGGTGGTACCGGGAAGGAGGTTAGGATGAGAGATTTTTACATCCAAAGAGACAAAACTGGAGTTACAGATTTAGGAGTGAAAAGGGCATGATTTTTTAATTATTTTTTTTCTCCTACCATTTGACATTTGATACAGGGAAAAACCTGAGTTTCCTATTCCACTCTCTGGCAGCTAATGAACAGAGGCAGTCCTGCATTGCAGGGAGGAAGCTGCCCATCTCTGGTAGGATATGAATGTGTAACAGCCTGGCTGTTACAAGTCAGTTTCTCTTGAAATAGTAAAGCCTTGGCTCTTCCCACCTGCTTCTCCAGTACCTACTGGAGTTACAAGATCTACTGTAAATGTATGTTCCAGAAATCCTATGTTTTCAGAGGAATTGCTCAATGTTCAGTTGACATCCTCCCTGCTGGTGGGATCTAGTTGGACACTGTGGAAGGGGCTGTACATGGGCAGAGCAAGTTTCAGGTGGGAATGTTAATGTATCATTAACTACATCTGTTGATCTCCAAATTCATCTTTGCTGAAAGGTGGATTTTAATGTAGTTATTTCCAAAATGACAGCCATGAGCTTGACTTTTCTAACTTTCTCCTTTGGAGGGTATTAAGTAGTGAAATATTTATTGATGAATGACATGTACTTGTGCATTAATTAATTATCATGTGTAATTTACTTGCAAGTCAAGAATTACAGCTTGAGACATGGTCTAGCACTGTAATATTTAGCTGATACTTTGTCATCGTTTTCTAATTTGTATAAAAGCTTATTTTGTTTCTTACTGTGAATAAACTCTTGTCACAAAAGATGTGTCCCTGCATGTGTAGTTACTGTATTCTTCTACTCCTCCCAGTTAAAAAAAAAAAACAAAAAACTGTATCAAAAGAATGCATGTAATAAACGCTTCCCTAACAAAACAGAAGTGGAGACCTGGATCATGAGCTTTTTTATTTGTTTGTGCAAGTCTATATGCCTTCTAGATTCTGATGTCCCATCTGCACTGGTGACTAAACCTGGTGATCCCTCTCCATTGCTTCACAAGGGTATCCAAACAGCTTTCAGTAAAATTGGGACAGTTTCCTTGAGAAATGTGGATAGAGAAAGAATCCAATTATTGAACCTTGAAAGTTGTCCAGAGAAAGGTTGGTGACTGTATTTGCTTGTCTGTTTGCAGGCTCCATGGCCCAAGTAGGGCTCCTGGAGCAGCAGTGCTGGTGTCCCTGTCTCCTGGCCAGCAGTGGAGGAGCTGCTGGTGTCCCTGTCTCCTGGCCAGGCATGGAGGAGCCATGGCAGCCATCTGCTCCACACAGGGAGTTCCCCTGCCAGAGAGCTCCAGACCCCATGGTTCCTCCTTAGGTCAGTACTTGGTCTGATGGTACCAACTCTGCCAACCCAGGTAAGAACTGATGAGCCTTTGAGGTTTGTACCTGAGGTGCTTAAGCCATAACTACATTTGAGCAGGGTAAGGAGAACATCACAGAACTGCAGAGGTTGGAGAGGCACCTGTGCAAAGCACTTGCCAACTGCCTGTGGCAGGAGGGTCTGTGGAGGAAAACTGATTCTGAGCTCTACTTAAAAGGAATGGGAATGGAAAGGCATTTTCATACTGGATCCCTGCCTTTAGGAACTGCTTTTACTGGTTTGGTCATTGGTGTTAGGGTGAAATACTCTGGTTCTTAAGGGCAGGCTGCAAGAGGCATCTGTTTCCTTTGGCCCACATCCAGTAAAGCACTTTAAAAGTTCAGCATGCATAAATAAAGCCAGCATTTAAATCCCAGTGAAATCAGTGGGTTTAAAACATATTACTAAACCTAGACATTTGTTAAAGCTCTCTTTGGCTTGTCATGCCCTTTCTGATCTGAAGCCTTGGGGTTTTTTCCCTGAAGTGCAATTGTTTGGGGATAGTATTTATTTTTTGCTTGAAGTATGTGTTTGGCTAAGTTACTATGTGTTTGCTATTTGGTTTTGGGAGTTGACTAGGTTTGGAAGAAAGGTTTCAAGGTGATCCAGATAAGCTCAGGCTCAGAATTTACCTTCTGTATCTCCATAAAGCTCTGCAAGCTACTTCCTCAGTGAAACAACTCTTTATCCTGGGAGTTTGCTAAACTGTCTTCTGCCTACAGAAGGCCATCTGCACTGGGTTGCTCTTCACTAGATTTTAAAGCTGCTTTTGCTGTCTTTAGTTACTGCTTTTGTTCATACATTCCTCATTCTCTCTGAGCTAATTAATAGCTTTGGCAGCTCTCACATGCATTAAGCTTCAGGGTTCTGTTCACCTTGAGAAGTGCTTCTGAATCCTGTAAGTACAACGCATTTCGGTGTTACTCCTTCCTTGCACAGAACATTAATTCAGTGAAATCTGCTCACTTTTGCAAGTGTGGCATTTTGAGATCCAGGGTGTTTGCCATCAATTGGAGAGAAATGTAGAGTCTCAGGTATGGGAGAAGAGGTTTTGAATTTTGGGGGTTTAGACTTTTGTTTTTGGAGTTTGAACATCCTTTTAGTCAAATAATGGCAGTTGTCTAGGAATGGAGTAAGAACACCTCCATAGTGTGGAAATCAAGCAGTTCCTCAATTTCTGAGGTACCACAGCTGCAATTTAGTCATCCCAGGCTTGTTTTAAGAGCTAGCAAGGAAGAATTCTGTCTCCCATCCTCTTTTGTTGCCATGCACCGCAAGTGTGAGCCCAGGATGCATGTGGGTGGGTGTCACCACAGCAACCAGCCCCCACGCCCGCATCTGCAGCGGATGAGGAGGATGTGACTAGGACTTCCCCATCCGTCCTTTACACAGAACCACTTCAGTCATTTCCTAGCACCCTGCTTTCAGTTTTGAAGTCAACTGAATTTCTTATGAAAAGCCTTCAACCTGTTGTGCAAATGACCTGACTACATGTGAGATCAAACTGCTCCTGGGCTCTGTGACTTAGCACTGGGGTTTGGATTAATGCCACCTCCGTAGAGATGAGGCAGCTCCACCTCCTGACACCCTGTAGGGGTTGTATCTTGGGCATGCATAGTAGGACAGCACAAGCTCTCCTGTGGAGGTAGGCACCCCTCTCCTATCGATTGCCATCAGGCAGCCTGGAGACAGAGAGGCCTGTCTGCCCAACCTCCACAGTCCTGAGACTGCTCAGTTGAATTCCCCCCTGAATGAGCTGGTTTTCAGTGCTGTGTGTATTTAAAGTGGTCCCAGAATTATTCTCTCCTGTTCACATCCTGTTCACTTCCTTATGCCTATCTGCTTTTCTCCTATCTTTTCCCCTCTGTTGAATGCCAGTGGTACCCACAAGACCTGCCTCACAGGACCAACTGGGCATTGGTCTGGAAATCTTTAAGAACTGCTTTGATATTGTCAGAATGTGCCCAATTTGATATATTTTTTCTGGCTGTGGGAAGCATTGCAGTCTTTGAAGGATGTAGAGAGTAGCTTTAAAATATTGATTTGCTGATTCTCAAAGTTGTGTAGACTTTGCTTTGTGCCTGCCTTAGCAATATGCAGAAAAGTGCTGCAGGCTCCCTTTCAATGCTGCAGCTGCAAAGAAAACATTTTATTTGAAACACCCATTAGCTTATCAGTTCTGCTTCTAGTGGAAATAATTAGTTCATTTTAATCAGAAAATAGCTGTGCTTCATGCCAAGCCATTTATGTTCCTAGCAGGTAGAGAAGTGCAGCTGCTGGCACAACTACACTGTAATCACAGGAGTGCTTTGCTGGTTGAAGGTGGAGAGGGTTGTGCAGCATGTAAGTGGGAGGTGGGACTCCTGCTAGTTCCTGTCATACTGTCTCCACTGGCATGATCCTGGTTGTAACATGGCAGTCCCCTTGTTTTAGATCACCTTCCCCTGATGGGACATAGGGGAGCAAACCACTTGCAAGCTGTGTGCATTGCTTTTGTTTGGCTTTTCTTTATTGCCAAGTAGGGCCAGGTGATGAGACAGCTGTGAGCCCAACAGAAGTAGTTTATAAATGTCACAAAACCCACATTAAAGCATTTTGCACTGGGCAAAGTACAGAAAAGAGAAAGAAAACTCTTTCTAGAGCCCTTCAGAATCACTGGCAACACCCCACTGGCCTAAAGCCAGGGCTGAACTCCCCCCTCTGGGCTTTCCCTGGGGCAGCCTTCAGAGCACTGGAAAAACAGGTCCTTGGCACTTTCCCACTAAAAATGCTGTCCTGTAAGGAATGGCTTTGGAAGCACAACACCTGTGAGTGCTGGACTAGGACTGGCCTGCTTGCTGGGAGCTGGCTTTGGTCAAACACAGCGGGGAAAAATGCTTGCAGGACTGCGTGGTTAACACTCCATCAAGTGCGCAGAGCTAATAAAGTCATGAGCGCTTTTAACTGATGAGCCAAAGTGATAAATTAGGTCTTCTGGTACCACCCAAAGCCATGAATTCTAAGGATGCTTACTCTTATTCTCATGTGCGTTTGTTTAAAAGTATGAAGTGAACATGCCCATACATATGATTTTGGTGGTTTTAAATGGTCCTTAACACGGTGCATATTTTCTCTTCATGAAAGCATAGAAGATGAAACATGAGTTGCAGAATATTAGAAGCATATTGCAAACAGTTACCCAGCTCTCCTCCTCCTTTCCATTGTGGATGTTTTTTAATTTACATCCTTTTACAAAATCCACATCTGTGCACCTGAGTTTGTTACTGCTGCTCAAGGGCTCATTGGTTGGTCAGGACCAGCACCGTTCCTTTTGAGATCTCTTTATCCTCCAAGTTTCTTCCTACAGCACTTCTCCAGCCAGGACTCTGGGAGTCTAGCATACTGGGCTCACACTGTGGGGACTACATCCAAAGTCCCACTGGGGAGTGGTATGTCATCCTCTGTTTCTGGTGGAGGTGAAAAGTTTGGCAGTGTAACCCTTGTTCCAGGCTGACTGCAAG